CAGTAGCCAAGGGAATATAAATCAGGACAGGGGCTTAAAGTCTTGAGCCCCCCCAGGGAGGAGTCCTCGCTGCAAAAGGAGAGGGGCATGAACTGAGCTGCCTCCCTCTCTCTCCTCCCCCCTCACACTCCTCTGTCCATCATTCTCCACCTCTCCTTTCCTTGTGACATTCACTTTTGTCAGTTTGTCTGTCTGACTCTCTCTCCCTCTTGCATTTTTTTTTCTTTTACATCCCCCTTATTCCTTCCTTCTCTACTTTTGCCCATATTTTTCCACACCACTCTGCTGCTTCTGTCTGTTTGCACGCACATGGGGACGTGTAGATTGCTCATGAAGTTCACACCCAAAATGAAACACCACAACTAATTCTGAGCTTGGGATTTAATCAGTTTATAAACACAAATCATTTTTAACAGGCTTAAGTCGTACAGCTTTGTTTTTGCAGTTTTCTTGTTGTCCAGCCTAAAGATGGGTGCATCCCTTTATGTGGTAGACAGCCAAGCCCAGCCCACACATCAGTATTGTCAGGTCTTTTAAGAAACTGGTGTAATGCCAGACTATATATATAGCCTACCTCAACACAGATAGTTCTATAGGGGGAATTAGGGTAGAGCAAGAATAAAAGTAAAGTTTAGACCTATTTTTAAGAGGAGAAAAGCGAAGTGTCGCTATGTGCTGTGAAGTTTGTTGCTCTCCCCTGCTGTACTGTGTTATCCTGTGGGGGCACAGTGCTGTTGTAGTGATGTGATGCAGTGATAGCACGAGTGTCCACTGGGGGAAACCAGAGCATTCTGTCTCACTGAATGATACCCCTGTCTCCACTCACGATAAACAACACATACACACACATACACACATCAGTGTCTGCCAAGCCCAGCCTAGCAGCAGATTCCTCCCTCACCCTCCCACCCACTCGCAAAAGCTGCAAATATATTAGCTGCCTCTTTTTCTTTTGTCTTGGGAAAATGGCATGTGGGGGGGGACGAGTGTGCTTGTATATGTGTGTGTGTTTACCATGCTAAGGAATAGTAGCAGAACATCCCCTTTGTGCCAGTCGTGTTGAGATATCCCAGTGGTATAGGGCCTAGTGATGGGAAGAGAGTTACAGATGCCTAAGAGTTGCCAGTAACACAGGTGAGATGCTGGGAATGGAAAACAGAAAACTGACTGACAGATGAGGAAAAGATTTGAGTTTCAAATTACATGCTGCCGTCTTCTTTGGTTAAAGCAGAAAAGAATGAAGGAAGAAAATAATGGGTCAATTCACAGGTATAAGGAGAAAATAAAACTCTTGTACTTACAAACTAAGTAGTTTCTTTTTTTTTTTTTTTCTTTTGTCTTAAAATATTGTCAAATAAAACAAAATATCTCTGGCAGCTAGTGAGATTCCAGGTAACCAATCAGTTTATAAAATGTTTTTTGATCAATGTAAATACATTTATTTCCATTGTCTTTATATGGAGTATAAATTTTTCAAACAGATTCTCCTCTTTAAACTTTGAGACTTGTTATAAATGCAGGTAAAACTACAATGGTTGCATGTTTTCAGATTGGTATAGTATGTGTTTATTGCTTTAAATTTAAATGGACTGGTATTAAGTATTCTTTAGGCTGCCACAGCAGTATGCCACGTTGATTGTCACTACTACGATGATGATGTTTACAGTCAGAGGTCACTTCTAGGTTATGGGTTGGACCCTCTCACACATTCAGATCTGACATCATTTTTCATGTCCTAAATATAAGATGCTGCTGAATGTCGACATTTTGGCATAAAGTTGCTGCAGATTTCTCTGCTGCACATCCACAATGCGAAAAGCCCATACCGCATCCCGAAGGTGCAGCTGTTGGGCTGAGATCTGGTGAATGGCCACCAGTAGTTTAGTTTAGCCTGAGTCGTGTGACCACAGATGATTCTGCATACCTTGCTTGTAACATGTGGTTAATTGAGCCACTCATGAACTTACATTATTAGAGATGGACATTCAGAATCGTTTAAATCTCCTTTCCTTCCTATTCCGATGCTCAGTTTGCGCTTCTGCAAGTTAACCAAACGTAATGATGAAGCTTTTCATTCACCTGGAGCTTGTAAGCCATATTCAGACCATGTTGAAAATCGAAGAAGCATTTTGGATGGAAGATGAAATATCGCAAAGTAACAAGAGAAGTTAAGTTTCCTACTACTAAAAAATTAGAAGTGTCTTAAATATTTTTACTGCCTGAATTCAAGTTGCAGTACAACTACGCTGAATAAAACGGTTGGAGTTGGATTTTTATTCATAAACGTAAGGTAAACATTTTGAATAAACACCTGCTAAGTACTTTTTTTCCTGCTAGTGATAGCTTATATTGGTTGGTTAATTAGTCAGCTGGTCTACCAGCTAACTTGCAGTCAGCCGCTTTACATCCAAAGCACTTATAGCATTCTTGTAGCAGGATTTGTCTTCCTGGTTGGCGATAAAAAAAGAGCAGTGGGTGTCTTTCAGCCAGCTGACCCATCAGCAACATGCAGTAGAGGCCGAGTTATGTTGTTACTCTACGCTTCCAACAGCTGGAGAAAACCAAATTCACTCTTTTACTTTCCTCCACTTTAAAGGAATTGAAAATGTAGGAGTGCTATAATCGAAAAGTTTTATGTATAATTTATCTACGCTTTAATGCCAAACGCTGGTCCATTTCCAGATCACAATAAGAAAAGTTTGGTAGTTTTAAGAGTAGTTAAAAGAGGAGCATATTTTGCAGAAAGAGAACATTACCTTCATGAACATTATTTAAATTTAAATTTGGTCTTGTAAGAAACATTTGTGTAATTCTATGAAATCCTGACTGTCTATGCCTTTGTTAAGATGTATGAAATTTCCACCTTAAATCATTATACTAGGAAGATGAAGAGAAAGAAAAAAGGTGGATCTTGTCCAACTTCACAAACATGCTTGCAAGGCACAGCTGTCTGGACTGTTTAACGTCTAAAGACAGCCAGTCTGAAAGTGCCTATATGTTGGGTGGCGTCCTGAGGTTCCTTATATGGAGGGAGAATATAGCTGTGATTTCAATGTCACACTCTACACAAATACAACCTCATCACTTCACTTCCTGCTGATTCTGTGTGAGATCAGAGTCTCTGCAGCTCCTGGACTGTCACTCAGAAACAGAAACCCGATGTGGGCAGGGCCGCGACAACACTGCAAATCTGGCAACTCGAATGTTTTTATTTGCAGGAAAAAGAGCGTCTCTCCATGCGTGTGTGTGTGTGTGTGTGTCTGTTTGGGTTTGTGTGCCATATGCAGTGTGCCAGGGAGGGCTCTCTGGAACATATTGGTGTGCGTGCATTGTGGTTAATAATAGTAGCAAAAGCATAAAACGATGGCAGCTCTGATGTGTGTGACAGTTTTACAGCCGCACACGCCAAGACTTAGTCTCACACGCACACACACACACGCACCGAAAAACAGACCTCCTCTGCCACAGTACCATCCGTCTTTGTTGAGTTCTCAATTTTATCACGGATCCAGATAAGGAAAAACAGTCACTTCCTAACCACCCACCCACCCCGCCTCGCCTCCAGCCCCTCCCTAATGCTCCATATCTGGGCACAGGCTCTCATAGAAGCATATAGCCCACTGAAAATCAGCCACCCACACAAACACATAAATGTACAGGCCTCACCAGCCTTGGATGGAATGAGCAACGTCCTTGAAGCAAGCATAACATTTAAATGCACAGATTCACACGACACACACACATCCTGTCATAGCTCATTGCTGCTTTTGGTTGGCTGTCTGGAGCGATGTTTGTGTTGTGTCGGGGTGACAGATTTAAGTTTTGATGAGGCGGGCAGGGGGTGAGGGGGGGATCGGTGACTGCTCCCCATGGTGAGGTCTTAGAGACAGTAGACAGCAGCAGCAGCAGCAGAAACCCAACCTGTCGTCCGGATCAATCTCTGGGGGAGGCAGGGAGATGGAAGAGGAGAAACTGCATCACTCACTGCTCGGATGTGTCCAATAAAAAAAAATAAAAAAAATAAATAAAAAAAAGACCAAAACCTCAGCTCAGTGGCCGAGCTTGGCAAGTAAACGAAAGAGGAAGAGAGAGACGGCTGGGGAGGCCAGAGCGTAGCAGAGAGCCACCCAGTACCCAGGATTAGTCTTTGAGCTTGGCAGAGCAGGACCAGAACTGAGGGAGAGGTAGCAGGCAGACAGACGGCCAGAACGGACCTGGCAGCCATTCTGGGCCAGGTTAGCGGCCAGAGAGAAGACGAGTCGGAGCGACAGGCAGAGTGGGGACCCCGCGCTCGCTTTCTGTGTGGCTGGGCTGGAGTGGCTCACCCATATGGTGCACCGCACTGTTCATGCTCCCTGTCTAAATCCATATGCCGCTGGTGGAAAAGACCAGCGCCCCCTCCCCGTCTCCCCTACCTCGCATCAAGAGCACGCAGACCCACAGGGGAGGTGTTGGGAGGTAAAGCCCTGCAGGCTTGTACCCCCCCTCCGTACCTCTTAACCCCACAGAGCTGCTTAGCCTATTGTCACTACAATCTGCCACCATAGCCTGGGTGCTGTGTGTATCCCCCCCCAACCACCCTTGCCCTCTTTTTCTTTTCCATTCTCTCTCTTCTCAAGCCCTTTCATCTCCCTTTGGCACCTGATAATCGATGAACTTATTAACTGCTAATTATTCAAGCTGTGCATCGAGGATCCCTCCCTTATTCTTGGAAAAAAGGGAACGTTTCCACTCTTTTCTGCCAAATAAATTGGGTTATATTGCCCATTCATTTGGATTAAGTGCATTTAGGCTGCACTGTTTGGGATGTTAAGACTTTGTCAGATTGCTATCAGTACTGTTTAGCATTAATCCCCATTTTGTTCTGCCAGTTGATAGCCTAACCCTAACCCCTACTTGGTGGAGGCCCAAGAAATTTCCATACTGAAATATACAGTCTTGTTCATTTTCTCTGTGATATGTCTAAAAGGATTTGTTTCTTTCTGTGTTCTGTTTTTTAGGAAGTTCTTCAGACAATACCAAAGTTCTGCTTTCCCTTTGACGTGGAAAGGTATGATTCCTCTCCTCTCCGTCTCCGTTTCCTGGTTTCACCTCATTTGACTTGTTCACACACCTCGAAAAACTGATCACTTCTCACACCTAAAGACAGAAAATGAGATGTACAGTTTATACTTCTCAGATGTGACAGTGATGAGCTCTAAATTGCAATCACTTAGTGATATTGTCACCTGCCAATTTCCTGACTGTCGGAGCTTAATGATGAGTGTTTATTGTGGTCGTGTCCACATGGGTGGGATTGCTTGTTCAAAACAAACAAACACAAAGCTGAAACTCTTCTTTCATGCCTTGGACAGACTGCATGAAATTAAGAAAACACGATGTTCAATAACATTGGTAAATGTTGTGACAGCGGCATGACTAGAGATAGTAAAACCCATAATTAATTGTTACGGTCTTTCTGCTTTGGTTTCATGTCAAATGTGGATCCAATATAACGAGTATTAAGTAGTTCCCTCTCAGTTCAGGTTTTTATGGGGAAAAAAGTTGCTTCTGACTGAGTTCTGCTGTTTGGCAATAAAAGCATTCAGTGGTACTTTAATGACTTGACCACCTTACCAACTCGTTACCTTCAAAAACCTTTTACCATACCATGCCAGTTTTATTTATAAAATCACATTCTTGTGTTATTGTAGTCCTGGTTGTGTTAAAATGTTTGGCATGGTGTGGAGTTCTGAATGTTTTATGCTAACCTTGGGAACCACTGATTTATAGTAATTTTCTAAACTTGTTTCATAGTTTATTATAAATAAATAAGTAAAATATTTCTTAGTTATTTTGGATGCATCAAGAGTCCTCATATGTAGGATTTCATTGGAGTCAAAATGAGAATAGAACCAAAATAACCATAAGATGAGTGTTTGTGGAAAAACGTTTAGAATTTAATAAACAATGGCATCCTAGGTGAGCCTTTTTGATTTTATCTTTGTTTTTAGATGGTAAAAACACTGAACTTCTAAGTTAAATAAACCAAGAGCAAATTTTGTGGTTTGTTCACAAGGAATGAATTGATGAAAGGGGAGAATTAGCCAAGAGAATATTTGCAAAAAGATCTGAAAATCTCACATAATTTAACTCAAATATATAATGTCACATTCTGTGTTCATACCACAGTCCAAAAACATGGTGGATGGGTAAATTGGTCTTTCTATATAGCCCTGTACTGTGAGTGAGTGGTTATTTGATCTGGATCTCTGTGTGACTGGCGACCTGTCCAAGGTGAACCCCGCCTGTTACCCAATGGCTGCTTTAGTCAGGAACTATTGACTCCTATAAAACAGATTAAGACCTCTGATCATACTGAAATAACTCCAGGCCACATCCTGCTGGAAGCTACTATTAATTGGAGTCATGTGAACACGGTTTCCTAAAAGTAGTCTGTGAGTGGAATCTAGAAAATTACTTTGAAATGTAATTTGTTAAAGCAGGTACAAAAATGACCCATGGATGGCAGTAAGTCTTGCGTGCCATCCACAAGTACAAAATCAAAACTGCAAAGATATAAAATGTCTTAAGGGTTGAAATGATGATAACAATGATCTGATAAAAACAATTAAATATTCACCAGAATATGTGTAAGTGATTACATGTTAATGTGTAAGTGATGAGACCAACAAGTGTCATTGGTGAAAATGAGGCCACCTGTGACAGCCAGTGTCATTGATGAGTTGAGGAATAAATCATGTGTTTCTGTACATGTAACATGATCTGCTCAGGCCTGAACTATCTGAAAAGTCCCAGTTTTTATATTGGAACATGTGAAATGATCCATTCTTAAGACAGAACAGGGATGTAGGGAGGAGGCTGAGCTTTTACTGAAGCTGAGCTGCTGCCATCTAGTGGTGGAAATGTGAATCGAGCTTAATACATATTTATCTCAAAACCTCAGAGAAGCTTTGATTTTATAACTTTTACACATGAAATATGTGGAATTAATGTGTTTGCAGTTCATTCTCAAGGTTAAATCAACCAGAATTGAGCCATCCTTGATTGAAATGTGGTAACCCTCTGCATTAATTTAGCATAATTTTGTCTGTTATTAATTGTTGCTAATTCTTCCCACATTTATTAATAAACTGCTGGCTGTTTAGCCTTCACTGCTTGCGCCCCTCTGTGTCGTCGGCAGGGTTTCCCAGAATCAGGTGGGGCAGAACTTCACCTTTGTTCTCACAGACATCGACAGCAAGCAGAGGTTTGGTTTCTGTCGACTCACCCAAGGCTGCCGGGTCTGCATATGTCTCCTCAGGTAACACACACAGCCACTCTCTAATTGTCATTTTAAACTTCATTATTGAAGTTTTTTGTTTTAAGGATTATGTCTGATTTCAAGACATTAAATTAAAAGTCAGAAAAATACCTTTTTGCAAGTAAAGTTGCAAATCCTAAGTAGCCATAAATGTGAATAAATAAATTTTTTACAAGCTGCTTTTATTTTTTACTTATTTCTTAAGTAGCTATCATAAAGATATGAGTATCCCTGTTTGTTTTGTATGGTGGAGGATAAAACCTTTTTTAATTTACAACATCTTAGAAATGATCACAGATTTTTGAAACAACCTTTTCATTCATTCTCACACCGTGCTGCACTTTGCCAGAAAAACAAATTTATGTTCTTATCTGCCCACACAAATATGTTTCTAAAGTGCCTATAATTATCCAAAACTTTAGCCGTTTTTATATTTTTTTTATAGCTTTATTCCTTCTATCACAGCGCAGACAAACGAGGACCCCGGACGTTGAAAAATTTTATTTCTCTTTGCATAAATATACTCCTAAAAAAAGCTATTATCTGTTAATTTCCGAGTAATTTAATGTCGATGCAATGTTGTTTTGTTTTTTTTTCTTTACAGATGCAATTATTTACCCATTACAAAGAATGAGCACTGCAGTGAAAATCTCAGTGGACAGGCTTGCTGCACTTTAATAATAACTAAGAAAAAAAAGTAAAAAGATCAATTTTTAATGAATGTAATAAGCAGTTTAAGAAACAACAAATTGGAAAAGCAGCACAAAGCCTTCCTCTGTTCTCTGTTTGTGGAGCAGCACTCCTGTAAGGCTCACTCTCGCCTCTGTGTGTGTTTGTGTGGCTGGTGATGGACAGTCGTGGGTTTGTCGCTGGCCTGATGAGCTGCTGTGAAGAACAGTGCCCTCGTACCCCCCCTCGCACCCACCTTCCCCACACATACACACTCGTATATACCACCCACCCTTCCCGGCCAGCTTCCGTGGCCTTTGTTTTTCCTTTCTCTCCCTCTCCATCTCGTGCTCTCTGTCTCTCCCTCTCTTTCCTCCTCGTTATTCGGCTGCTGCCACAGTGCGACAGCAAAGACGCTCGGCCCATAATTATGCATGAAGCTTCGCTGCCAATTAGCAGAGGCTCCCCCGTCCCTCTCGCTGAGTTAGACATGCTAATTCATTTGACATATGATGTATAAAATTCATTATGCATTCTGAGTAGTTTGCATGACTTGGTTCATTTATTATAAAATAACATATAGGAAGTTATTTTTTTCTGCTTTTTTTTGTGTATTTGTGCTGCCCAGTTTTCCTCCCCAGATCTTATTTTATTGAATTTTTTAAAAACACTAATAACCACATTATGTTGGGATCATTCGAAAACATAACACTGTTGTAGATTTCCCAGATAAGGAATGTGAACAATTTTCAAAATATATTTTTTCAAGGTCCTGGGTTGAAAGTTCATTTTGTTTAGATAGATGATAAAGAACAAATCACAAAATAAAACAGGGAAGACTATCTGAACTCCCTAGTTTTATTGAGTTTTAATCATTTCCAAAGAATAAAAGCTAAACTTTAATTAAAACAGTTTGCTTCTGTGATCGCTGAAATGTCTGCTCTGTAAAATTGTCACCTCTGCTTACAAGAGGAAGTGCCTTAATGAGTAGGACAGTTTTATGTGGAAAGGCCTTTGTAGTCTCGTTGCTGAAGTTGTGGCCAGAATAAAGCCACAGATCACACCAGATAAAGAAACGCGCTGAAATCTCATTATTATTTTAATGTTCTATCCTCATATCTCCTCTCACTCTTTCCCACTAGGTGTTAAATCATTTTTGTTCCCTCTTTTAGATAGATAAAAAAAAAGTAATTTTGTGTAACAGCAGATGTTTTAGGATACATTTTAAGTACTGAGTGGCTCCAGTTATTGGTCACTTTTTCAGGACGACACTTCCTCCCCTCCCCATACTTAACCCCTGACCCCAGAAAGTAAATGTGTAATGCAATCTTCAGCTGAGCCGTCTACAAAGTGTAGGTGACTTATGATTACAGATTCCTCTGCAGTAAAAACGATTTAAGGCTCATCGAAGGAACAGGAATAACTGTCGTGCTTAACACCCAACTTACTTTATGGCAGCCAAAGAGGGCTGGCTTTTGTCTAAACATTTAATTTCCAACATTTAGACTCTTTGTTGTTGAGATTTTTTAAGTCTTTTTTATTTTTATTTTATTTTTTTTTACTTTTTCAGGCTTACACTACGTTTTGCTTTTTCTTTGAGTCCCAGAGTTGCTTCTTTTAGGCCCGTTCAAACGTCCACGGCGTTAGGTGGTCTGAGCCTGGAACGGAGAGACTGCGAGTGGGTCGCAGATTAATTGGTTCGCTCTTTGAGTACATGGCACTTTGAGAAGACGTGTGCTTAAAATGGTAGGAGAGATCGCGGGACCCCCACGCACTGAGCACTCCAGTGATAGATGCCTCCCCCCCCTCCCTCTCTCTATCGGAGGATTTGCGAAGCACAAACAGATCTGAGCAATGAACTGTGACGAGTAGGAGTATCTCTCAGTGAGCTTTCCAAACTTTAACTTTGCGTGTACAGAGAGCAGAGCAGGGCAGGGGAGGGGAGAAGAATACACCAATGCATCCTTAAAATATATTAATTTGTCTCCTTTTGAAGAAGGAAAACTTTCTCCGTCTTTCAAATACGAGTTTATTATTGATAATTTGCGAGGGTTTCGATTTGCCAGTGATTGTGTGTATTCCGTTAAATTTACAGCACTTTGGTTAAGGAGTGTAATGTCTGTGAGCTCTGTGAGGCCTGACGGCGCCGCTGACGGCGAGGCTTTCATTTATATACCGCACATCGGTGAAAACTTGAAGGTTTAATGTCCAGAGAACACAAGTCGTAAATGAGTCGGGTAATTTATCGAACTTACACTGCCCCTATCAGAGTGAAGTGTGTAAATTCAGAACCCTCCACGGTATCACTACGAATTTACTCTCTAAACTGCTGCTGTCGCATAATCTCTGAACAACTGCCTTAATTATCTACTAGAAAACTTTAGATTTTCCTATTTTCTTTGTCACTGTGCAGTGACAAAATAAGCTTGACTTCTGCCTTGGTTGTCACTGTTCCACTTATTTAAACTGTTATGTTAGTACTCTTAGCTATAGATGCAGGCAGGTTTAAGCTAGTAGCTACTTTCTTTGAGCTGTTTTATGACTTGAATACTAAGTTTTCCTGGGTTTCCCATCTTGAAAGTTTCTTAAAAAATTGCTCTTCATCTTTAAATACTTTCATCAACCTAAAATGCTTCTGTTATCAGACCAGATCTCTTGTGAAGAGTGCAGCTCCTCTCTTTTTAATAATTATTGTCTTGATAACATATAAGCTCTGTTTTATTGTAGAAGTGAATGGAAAAGGTGCAGTTCTCTATCAATTAGCATTTTGCATTTTTATGTACTTTGCCATTTATTCTCCATTGTTGAGACTCTGCATTGCTTGTCACAGTTGGTCGTTTTAAACTTTTAAAATATTAATTACTCAGATTGTAAATCTTTGTATTTGGGAAAATAGTAATTTTATTGTAACCATTGTCTGAATTTGAATAAGGCTCAACAAATATCTGGCTTGCTTTATTTAGTTAAAGGAATAGATTACTAATTAAAAGTTCATAAAACTGAACCTCAAAAATTATATAGATAAATAAAAAAAATTCTCCGCTTGTTAGACCAGACTTTTTGTAGTTTTGCAAATGTAGCACCTACTGCATGTATAGTCATCATTACTATTATTATTATTATTATTATTATTATTAAATGCATCTTTTGTCATGGTAACATAATCTCAAACTGACAAAAAGAATGGTATCATTCTCATACAGAGAGCTTGAAATTTTCCTTTCTTATCATTTTCTGCCTGAAGCAAAATAAAGTTGGACTTATTAATTATCTTATTTGTCTCTCTTAAAGTTAGATTTTTATATAGAGTTGACTGTCTGACTTATTGTTGCCCATCCTGTCTGTCTTGAATGGAATGTTCTCTTGGCTTTCCAATTTTGTCTGTGGAAATTTTTTTACCCCAGGGTTAAGATGATGTCATAGACATCAAAATTACATTTTACTGATTAAGTTACAAACTGTAAGAATGAAAAGCTGCTTCAATGACTTTTAGTGTAAATTAATTGTGCTGCAGATACTTATTTACTTAAAAAAATGACAGTTTAGCCTTGGATTATCACTGAAAAATTTACATTTATCTAAATTGTCAGATTATGTTACTGTAATGAAAAAATGCATTTTGCACATCAAAAACTGACCCGTGGGTGTTGCTTGACATGGCAGAAATAGGTCTTCAGGTTCATATACGGTCAGCATGTAAATTAACATAAGTGTGTTTGATTGAGTCTCTCCTGCAAGTGTGACCTGATTGTGGTAAATCTTCATGCAGATGTCAAAATATCGGCATGTTAAGAGTCTGATTGTTTCAGACTAATGGTCACTCAGCCTCTCTGATTGGCGCGCTTGGCTGCACTTCTCCTGAAGAACCGGGCTGTCATTGGCCCCTCACGGATTTAGTGATATGAAAATTTGCATTAGGTCCACTTTATTGTTTTCTTGTTGTCTGTTAATTCCAGTCTGCAGAGCAGCCAGTGACCCATGCTCTGGCAACTCCTCGCTCTCCAGCCAACAGCTTTAGCTTGACTGTAAACTCTGTCACTTTAAAACCCGAGGTCTAAACATCTCCCGCTGCAGAAAATACTTCAAACTTGGGTCATTTTATGAGATATGGAACTAAATCATTGCTCAGAGAGTTTTATATTGAGATTAAAATAATATTTACGTTCATTTTCAACCCATGCATCCATCAAAGTTAATAAAGCATCACAAGGAGTGTCTGTTTATTTAATTGCAGTCCTAAAAGTCATCAGCCAGAATTATTGCTCATTCAGGGTCTAAATCTGCATGTTAAAACCCCAAACTGCATCAAAATTCAATACCATGATAGGATCTCATGTTTTTATTATTTAATTGCATAACATTAAATGAACTGAGCCCTCACAGCCTTTTATGCTAGAGTAAAATGTTGGCCTCCTTCCACCCAGAAAGCGAGCCTACTTGGCCAAGAATATGTCAACTTTGTAAAGAAAGCCATGCTGCAGATGCTTTAGCTTATGTTGGGTGTTCTTACTGATTAGCTTCAACACAAACACTGCTGTATGAATTATTTGGAGCTTGTTAATGAATTAATTTACTTTACATTAATTATATAAAGTAACATTTTTTTTAATATGTGCGGGGCATGAAAAGCAGGTGTTGGGGGGGAGGAGCGGGGGGGGGGGGGGGGGGGGTGAAAGGGGGGAGGGGGTGGTGTATTTTTGTTAAGCTTGTGCATCTGGGATCAGCATGCTTGTAAACCATAGTATCCCTCTGCACCATATAAAAGCAATGCAGTGTTTTTTTTGTTGTTTTTTTTTTTAAGGATCTACAATCTTGTTTTCTTTTCATCTTTTTTTTTTTCTTTACTGCCCTAAAGAGGAGACACGGCAAAAATTTATCACATGCAAAGGGCAGAAATAATGTAATAAGAAAGACGTGGTAGCATACGTTTGGAGTAAGAATTGGGATCTTTCCTCAATCTGTGCATTTTATCTTGAAACAACAGGTCAAATGATGAAGACATTTTGAGAAACACACATTCAAGTTTTCTGCAGACCGACTCCCTTTGCGCTTGTATTTTAAATAAATAACACACCAGTCCGCTTTGATTCGTTGCATCTTGTTTGTTTATTGTAGAAGATGATGAAATGAATGCCGACTTCTCCATATTTATTGCATTAATGTGTTTCTCTCCGCAGCTATCTACCATGGTTTGAAATCTACTACAAGTTGCTGAACACACTGGCTGACTACTTAACAAAACAGCAGGTAATCACTCATTCTGTTTCCAATAACCATAAGGTGCCTGGAGTTTTTATGCATTTACAAATAAGACAACATTTTATTTGGATTTGACTGATAAACAATCACACCATGTATTTTCTTAAAGTCTGTGTTGTGGTGAGACGTTTCCCTCCACTGTGTGTTCGTCTGCATGCTGCATGTTTTGTATTTTTTTATATATTTTTTTTTTGTCTCGGGCTTGAATTGGTTCCTCTTGTTAGCAGCAACAGTGTTGACATTTCACAGACCAAACGCTGATCTGACACTGGAAGTTATTCCTGATGATTTACTGGAAAACAAATCGTTAAAAACAATACACACACGCACACTCGCAAGTTGGCAAACAAACACACACATGCCTGCACTTCACAAAAGTCGTCTCCCCAGACTATTCGCTGCATTGTACGAGCAAAAGGGAGGGGAAATGTAAAATATGCAACAAACTGGGGAGATGTGCAGAGTCTACTGCATAGGGTGTAGGTGATGTTCCAATGTTTAGACTGAAGAGAGGGTGAAAAGGAGAGGAAGGGAGGGAGACGGAGGAGGAGAGGCAGAGAGCTTTGGGACCACTTTTCAATTGTCATGTAGTCGTTGCTTCTCCCCGGATCCTCGGGGAGCTGTTATCAGGACAGTGTGTCGTGCTAAAAAAAAAAAAAAGACAGTCACATCACATAAACAATCAACGTACATCCACATAATTCTTCAGCTATAAGAGATTCGGTGGAATAATCTAATGTGGTTGAGGAAAAGTAAATGCGGCTGGAGCGTTTTTTTTTTTTTTTAGAGGAAAGAGGAGAGACGGCAAAGAACGCCGGGAAAGAAGGGAGGAAAAAAAAATCCTGGGTGACTGAAATGTTAGTGTGCATGATTTGGTTTCTATTTACCCCGCTGTCCGTTCCAGGCGAGAGGGAGATGTTGACAGACGAGGGAAGACAGAAGAGCGATGAGGGTTTAGAGTGAGGGGTAAATGAACTGTTTCCCCAGGCCGTGTTGCTGACCATGCGTGTGAGCATTGAGCCTCTCATGACAGGAGGCTGTTCGATTGCACACACCCCAGCTAGCACCCCTCCCCTCCCGCCCTCCCCCCCTCCTCTGCTCACTGTACGTTGCCACCCTTCGCCTCTCTGAATCTGTGGCTTGCACACAACTCGCAGTATCTTCTTATAGCCCAGACCGAAAACAAAGTTCTTAGTGAAGAAAAAAGCTCGACGAAACTCCACAGCAGTTCACTAACTGCTTTCCCAGAAGTTTGAATCCGAGTTTCACTTTTTAGTGTTGCCTTCTGAAAGATTTTCCTCTTCCAGAAGACATGGGATTGTAAATAGGAGTCATAAATGTTGGATGAGTAAATTCAAAGCCGGTTCTGTGGTCAAACCCGGCTCTCTGACAGCTTCCTTAAGCCCCGTTTTTGGAGCGGGGACCCCCTGGTTAATTAGTCGCAGGCTGCTCTCGGCTGTAAATCAGCGCCGCTGGATAATAAGCGTCTGCAGCCATACACTCCGCCGTCTTTTAACCCCAACACTTCTCGTTAAACATATGTCAGTCGGATGTTGTCGAGCCCTTCAGGCCTCGCTGCAGGTTTGCCCTCTGGTCTGCCGCGTTGCCTGTCCCAGCACCGTTGTCAAGATTGACACATAACTTGTGTTATCAACAAAACAAGTAAATATAATTCATGTGTCCCATGTTTTTTCTCTCCCTTAGGAAAATGACTTGAATGACTTGCTGAATTCCCTCTATGAGCTGCCTGTGCCAAAGCCTTTCACACCAGTCAACTTGAGTGTGGTAGGTATACATCTGTTATTCTGCTAGATCAGATGCAAGACAGCTGAGGCAGAGACAGACAGAGGGAAAGGTACCGCAGCAGCATGTTGCATCAGGGGCGGTGACGACAATTGGGCGAAGTAGTTAAAAGTGAACCAAGAGACACTGAGGACGTAATGTAAAGCAGAAAACATGGCGAGCAAAAGGGAAAGATAATGAGAAATAAAACGAGATTGACAGAAAAAGAGACCAAGACGGCATGAGAATGTGCAGAAATGAGGAGATCGGCAAAGTGCAGAGGTTGAGATGTGAGAGAATAAATGAGAGAGAGGCAGAGGAGATGCAGAGCGCGGAGCAGGAGGAGGTTAAGGCAGGCCGGGCGGGAACGGACACGCGCACGGGGCCCGGGACTGACACCGTGTTTGGAAACAAGAAGTGGCGCTTACAGGGTTTTTTTGTGTGATAAGCTCAAGCTGGACACGTTTAAACATGAAGGGCCCTTTCACAGCTCATCATGTCTCCTGCTTATCAAGAAACTGCAACGGCCTAACGAGCCCAGGTCCCTCAAAGTCAGCTTCTGTTTGAGTTAACTCTGACACGAGCTCTCATGGAATGCCTCCAACATTAAACACTGTCACTTCTGTAAGCCCGGCCGATTTAAGCACAACGTAAAGGTTTTTAGCCAGTCTGCTAAGCTCACAATCTCCAGACTCCACACCATGAAGGGATCAAAAGAGTTTCGGTATTAGCCTTTGTCCTTAAGGACCACCACTCCACCCCTACACCCCCTTTTTTTAACCAATTAAGCAAGCAACTGTAAGTCGACTCTACAGCAAAGGTCTCTGAAGGATGTACATCTAATTACCCAGATGAATTTGCAAAAAAAGAAAAGACAAAAAGAAAACAGGACAAATATCAGGTCAATAAAGTCAAGATTTAGTTTGTAGTTTGCGTGTTTTTGTCTGAATAAACTAGTCAGCCAGATATTTTATTCAGCCGATTTTATCTTTTCAGCTTAACTACTAATAACATTGTTTTTTCTTCCCTTTATAGTCATTAAGTGCATCAGAGTTGAGGAGATTTTTAGTCTGTAAGCAGATGAACAGACTTTGACACACTAAAAATCTAATAAAGGTTTGAAACAAGTGCTCTTTGATGATCTTATAATGCCTTTATTTAAATCTACTGAATCTGTCAAAGAATCTACAACACATTTTTCTCTTCTTCTTGCCTAAAATAATCCTTCCAAATCTGAAATGGCAGGTCAGATTTTAAAGAAAGTTGCACCTGCCTGGAAAAAACCGATCGGTGCGTCCCCAGATCAAATGTCTCTCCAATCTCAAAGTTTATTAGCTTTTGACTTGTTTTTGTGTTGCACATTGGTTACAATAGCCTTACCACAGTTATGCATAGAGATGCACCAATCGGTTGCCCAGAGATTGGAATCAAACAGTTACCCTTGTTTAGGTGTGATTGATCAAAAACTGAACAGTTTGGGCTTTTTTCCCCCATTACTGAATGCATCAAAACTCCAAACTTCCTTAGTTTTCATCCTATGTAAACACCACGCTCTTTGATGCCTCTTATGAGTTTAATAAAAATCAGATCAAGGTTATGAGAAAATGCTTTGATGCTTAAATAGTCATGATCTTGTAATTCCTTCATTTTCTGTTGTGTTCAAAAGAACCTGGATCATATTTGTTCTCTGATGTGTTTTAGTCCTGAGCATAGAACGTGGAGCTGGAAGGACTTTGAATCTGCAGGTCACACACCCAATGAAAATCAGTATAGGTTCCAAAAAACATCTCTTGAATAAACTTTCTTTATCTCAATCTGAAGGCGACGCTGGAGAACAGAGATGATAGCTTCATCTCATTCCTAGAGAAGCCGCTAGTTTAATATTTAATTGATAAAGCAGAATTATTCCCTTACAGGAGCCTTTTTTATTTTATCATGGCAGCCAAGAGCAGAAGCCTTGTCCCCTTTCATGTGTGAACCCTGTTTTGCTCTCTCTCTGTCTTATTGTGCAAGAATGAGCGGTTGTGTATTGCCACTGGGCAAGTACTGAGAGATCAGCCAAGCAAGGAGCCGGTGAGTGGAAGAGGAGTGAGTGAGCGGCAGAGACGGGTGGAGGGAAGGATGCTGCTGTGAAATATGAAACTGCTTCTACACTAATCGCATGGGAGCCACTGATTTCCAATTTGGCCAAATAAGCTGCGCTACCGTTTTTACATATAACAAAAACAAACTATCCTGGGTCTGGGTGTGTGTTTCTTCTCCTCTGGAAAACAATCAAACTTTGTAAATGATTAATGTCTTTCCACTCTGCTATATTCTCTCTCTGAAAATCAAAAGTTTTTTTTTTCTTCTTCTCTTTATGTTTAAAGCAAAAGGCAATTGTGCTCAAGAAATCTCCTTGATGCCTTTCCAGTTAACCCACTTTCAATGTGTTTTCGTATAAACAAGTCTTCGAAAGAACAAGGAAAGAGGCTGATAAGCAAGCAGACAGCCAATGAAAGCCACGGCTGCACTGAGGAACGTGGCTTCTGATTATCACAGCGCCACAAATTTGTAGACCAACAGGGGAACATAATTTAGCACACAAAGCGCAAGAAAACAAGAAAGAATAGAAATCACACCCCACTGTAGATGTTCTGTGTGGTTTTTAGTAGCTGTCCTCAGTCTCAGAGGTATGACCCAAGTCCCTGATCTTTTAGTACAATTTGTTTATCTGCAACTGCTGTTATTTTAAGTATTCTTTCGATCGTCTTTGTTTTAGTCAGCTGAAAGCACTCTTGCTTTCTATTTGGCAGACAGAAATTATTCAGAAGCAAAGATCAGATCAAAAAGTCCCTCTTGTGCCAACATGCTCACATTTTTAAAATTGTTTCATGTAAAGTTTTGTAAATAAACTCTGTGAGACCACAGCTAGGATATACAGGTTTTTTTTTTTTTTGGGAGGAACTGAAGTTGAAAAAGAAATCTGAAGATGTTATTTTTGCTGTTGCATGTGACATCTGGGCAGGAACAAAGCTTTTTTTTTTTAATAATGTGGAGCTAATAAGAGAAGCTCCAATCAGAACTTAATGCCTTTTCTTTAGTTTTTTCTGAAACTTTGACCTGAGCTGAATCTGATTTATCTACAGTAGACATCGCTAACAGAAGATTTAGTTGCACTAATTAGAAACATCTACCCATCCATCCATTTTCTTTACATCCTTGTCCCTTAGTGGGGTCAGGAGGTGCTGGTGCCTATCTCCAGCTAACGTTCCGGGCAAGAGGCGGGTTCACCCTGGACAGGTCGCCAGTTCCATTAATGTTAAAGCACTAATCAACATATTATTTAGCAGAAGCTAATGCTAAAACGCTAACTTCAGGTTAAATTATATTTGTCTTTAAAAAAACTCCCACAACCCTCAACCACCAATTTCATTTTGACATTAAACCATGAATGAACTCCAGACACAAACCCCACATCATTTAAAAACAATTTCTTTTAAACCATTTACATATTTTGTGCTTCCTCTATTTGTAAGCACCTTACCGATATTAAACATGTTTTGAGTCTTCTTCACTCAGTAGTGACATCCACAGCAAAGAGGGTTGTTGTCAGCATTAGCCTGTTATCTATGGTGCATTCACTGATCTAAAAAAGATTAGTCTTTTGAGTTGCTGAGTGGTCAAACTGAAAATTGTCTGTTTTCTGTCATCAGTGGGTTTATTTGTGTGTCTTTGCAGCTAATTGTTAATTTGCAAGCTATTATTTGCAATGCATATTTATTATGACACATTTGGTCCTCAGTGTAAATTCATTTTTCAATTCAAATGTTGCTGCCGTCAGGAAGTAGGAGCAAATTAATAAATACCCAGAGTAAAAGTGAAATTTTACACATAGTTGTATAAAATAGACATGAAGGTTTCAATTTCCATAAGGTGAGCAGACATATTATTGATTGAACTGGCTGTTTTTTCTTTCTTTTTCTTAGAAAATTTTTTGATCACATCTTGGAGGCAAAGCCCTTCGTGTTACTTCCAGTTTAGTGTTTGTACTGCCTCATCTGTAACAATGACCATCCTCTGGGAATTAGACAAGTGTTTACTCAGGATAATTGTTTTCATGTGTTTATCACTTAATACACACCCACTTGGAGGAAAAATGCAGTGTTTGTCTAGTGCTTTCAGTATTTCTTAGAGGCATGGCCTTGAATCACACCTAATTTTTTACCCCCTTTACATGTTTACTGAATGAAGTAGTAGTAATTTTTGTCATTTGTAATTTCCAGGCCACTAAACTACCCAGAATCCCATATAACACAACATCCAGTGAAGCTACAGAAATAGTCATTATCTGGCCTCCATTTTAATAAAAACCTGCAGGAATGACGAAGTGGTGAAAAAGAAGCATGTGTGCATAAAGAATACCAAATCAAATCATAAAAATAAAAGGCTGCAGTAACCCCCAGTTGGTCTTGGCAGATGGTTGCTCATACTGTGGCAGGTTTTACTGGACGTTTCTTCCTGCTAAAGGGAAGTTTTTCCTCTCCACTGTCGCTACATGCATGCTGGCCATGAGGGATCGCTGTAAAGTCAACGACACAACGCAGCGATTGTCTACTGTCACTATGTGGACATAGGAAGAAAGAAAGCAGCAAGTCAACGAGTTTTCTTGGAAAACATTTTTAACCAAATTGAATAATGAACTGAATTTGACTTCATCACAAAATGGTTTTAAACGAAAGTCTTTCAAACTTTTTTTAAATAATTTTTTCCTTTTATTATTCATTTTCTGCATGACTTTAATTGTGTCTGGGTTTCTGTCCCTGTATTTGTAATAATTATTTGTAAAAACCTTTCGTTTGGGCTCTATTTTGACTAATTGTTTTTCTTAATTACTTTCTTATACTATGTTTTATTATGTGCAGTTAAAACAAGATGTTTACATACATTATAGAAAAAGACATTTCATATAAATTTTCTTTCACTCCCTGATCAATCTAAATTTTTCTGTTTTTCTGTTTTTGTCTTACGGGCCTGAGATCAAAGTGTCATGATGATGTCTCTAAAACCTTGACCTTGTCGTCCTAAAGCCCTTTTTTAACCAATTTGGCTTTATGCTTATGGTTATTGTGTGTTTAGAAGAACCATTTTAGCCTAAGATACACTCTGTTGAGATGTTGTTTCAAGGATAAAAACAGTAGACAGACAGTCAGTGGTCCAAGTGCCTTACTTGAAGTGCACCATTCCCTCCTTCACCCCACAACATAATGCTGCCTCCCCTTTACCGAAGAGGTGTGGCGTTGTATTGTTGAAAACATTCTCTAAATGTAACAATGTCATTTTGACCAAGCTCGTCAGTTTTAGCTTCGCCGCATCCTCAACATGTCTTTAAAACCGTAGTATTTAGAATGGTTGAGGCGTTAGCTTAGCATACTTTCACAGATTGGCCTCCGCTGAACTCAGATGTTGTGAATTAACCTATTAGAAACTTACAAATCCATGACTTCATCTGTGCCTTAACAAATAGCTTGACGCCAAAGTGACCTTATTGTATGAAGAACTCTGAGTTCATAATGATTCTAGAAATAATATTGACAAGACTAACTGGCCTAAAAGAACAGAAGTTTTATCTCATTTGTTGGCAGAAAGGGAGGAAAACAAATAGTCTTTTTCAACATTTGTATGAAAACATCTGGTTTCAGATCTGGTGTCTTGACCTTTTTTTGGAGGGATTTTATTTTGTTGTAACTTTTGTATTTGTTTTATTACATATGTTTTTATTTTGCAAAGCTTGTGTTGGATTTTTATGTCCATCTTCCTTCCCAGTGGGGGCCCCGGCTCCAAAAGAGATTCTCGACGATTCGAGGAAACCGAAATGTTTTTGAAGCAACTCTTAAAAAGTATATCAGTCGCAAATCTGAACTCTTACAAAGTTGCCTTAGAAATTTCAGCAACATCACAGAGGATTTTTACGACGACTTGCAACAGATGGTTTGAGTGATGGCCCAGAGACATGCAGGTGTACCAAACATTCAGTAGTGTGTGTAGAGAGACGCAGCAGTGTGTTTCTCTTGGTGGTTTGTCTACCTGCAAACAGCACCTCTCTCAGGCCCCTTTGATCTGAACACTGAACCTGCCCTGCTCTCCCAAAGTGAGACAGGCAGCCCTGTGATCCTCTAAACAACCTGAGTGTGTGTGTGTGTGTGTATGGAGAAGTGAATGTGCACACGTGCTTCAGTGCGTGTGTGTGTGTGTGTGTGTGCGTGTGTTGGTTCTCCACAAACCTTTTTAATGCTTAAATAAAGACTCAGTTTTCCACCGGAGACATCACCACAGTGTGTGTCTGTGGGGAGCAGAGCTGCTATTCAGCTTTCTCTGTTCTGCAGGCCTGATAAAAGCATTGCCACGGTTCAGACACCAGCTCAGCAATTCATATAGACAGAGCAGAAGATGAGCCATAAATCATACAACAAAGTGAACGGCCCTTTTCTCCCCTCTTCCCCTCATTCTCTTCTGAATAAGTGCTATGCCTCACTTGTGACCTTCTCTCTTCTCTTTCCTGCATGTTTGTGTTTTCGCAGCACTCCTACTTCATCGCGCCGGATATCAATGGACTGCCAACTATCCCAGAGAGTGTAAGTGCTCATGGAAAAGAGGAGAAAAGGAGATGAAGGAGAAATCCCTCCCTTATGGAAACATCCCTGCCTCTAATCGTTTTTAATCTAATACACATGTCACCGTTTGAAATTATTGCATCATCCTCTTGTTTCAGATTTATCTCCTGTGGTGCTTGTGCTTTAATGTTGAAGTTTAGTGATTGGCATAAAAGATTCAAACTGAGCACATGCTCTTTGTTGATTTTTGTGTTTAAATTCGAGCTCAAATTTTTATGGCAAGGGACACAAGATGACAGCAATTATCGGTCTCAGGCTGACGTAGAGTGAAATGTGATCCGTTTTCCCCAATCTGACTATTTTGGATGGATCACAGGCATGAATGCAGCTGAAACACACATAATTCTTACCATTTATTTTTAATGCAAATCAATCTCTGTAGTAGTTTTTTCTTTCTTACACTGTTCTTTGACATATAATCAGGCTTCCTCACAGTCTGTACAGTGATGTAGTGCATACATTTTGGAAGCTAAAAACATTTTGTCCTGTTGCATCTCCAGAGGAACCTGACGGAGTACTTTGTGGCTGTGGACATCAACAACATGCTCCAACTGTACGCCAGTATGCTGCACGAACGGCGCATCATCATTACCTCAAGGAAGCTTAGCACTGTGAGTTCGTTCCTCCTGCGTCATCCTGAAGCTTTTGGTTATTGAGCCTCGCTTTGAAGGCAAAGGCTGAAAAAAGCTTGAAAAACAACTAGAATACAGCGTCAACCTAAATGATTCTTCCCTTCAAATATTAATGTTGCTATTATGTTTATTTTGAGAATGTTATGTGAATTTATGTCTGGTGTTCAGGAAGCTCAGGTTGCTTTGGTAGCGACCTTCAGCTCATCTGGATTGTTGGGTCTGATGTCTGTCATCTTGATCTCAACAATAACTGATTGATTATCTATAAATCTATAAAGGTTCAGCTCAGGCCAGTTTGCTGGCAAATCAAGCAGAGAAGCATCATGGACATCGAACCAGCGTCTGGTACCTTTGGGTTCTCAGTCTTGCTGGGCAATGAAACCAGTGGGATCTTGATTTCCAAATGAAATGCAAACTTCACTTACATCTGAGCAGAAGGCTCCAGTTCTTCTTCTCTTTAGTTCAGGTAATAATCTTCCACAGTTTGGTCTGGCTTGGTCAGGAGTGGCCTAGTACAAGGCATCGGTGTAACACCTGCTGTCGAATCGTCTGCAAACTCTTAAATGTGCTTTGCTTTAAGATACCCCCAGACTGTGGTTACAACACATTTTCTCCTTCCACACAAATTCCCATTTATATTCCCAGATGCATCGCTCTGTGAACTGCTGGGTTGTTTAGCAATGACATCTTTGTGGCATATTTTTCTTGTGATGGTTGTCAATAACTGTCAACTTAGCTGTCTTTGCTTATCTATATGCATAGTGTTACTTCTTAAATGTAATGACTTATATGAATTGTCTTTTTTAAATTATATCCTATTTTATGTGCACATGTATCTGTGTATCTTTAAGCAGTGTGATTTCCTCAAATGAAAAATTACTAAAAAACAGTCTTCTCTGATTGGAGGAGGGCAAACAAACGGATGTAAAAGGTTTTAAATGCACAACACTTTTATGCATAAAGCTGTTTTATTTTTTTATGCAGGACTTCTGCACTTAAATAATAATTCAGAAAGCTTGTTGCCAACTTGCAGACCTGCACCGTCATGCTTTAAATCAAATTCAAATGCCAAATTATCCCACTAAAACTGGATCTAACCTTAGGCTGTTCAATAGATTGAACATGATTTGCTTCATCAATATTCCAGCTGGATTTGAAACCCTAAATATTACGATGGGAATATTTATCTGACATGGCTTGATAGTTGTTCAGAGAGACTTGAAGCAGTCCCCCCTCTCACCCGCCGCCCCTCTTCTTAATCATCCAGCTCTGACAGGCTGTGAAATTCAGGCTGAAGCTGGGTTTTATGTGGCTGTTTGTACCGTATAACCGCAGCATATTAATGTCCAAAATGCCTTAAATTATCTATTATTACATGCCTTAGCTTACTCTTATAATTTAAAGTCATTTCTGTGTGTGTGAGGGAGGAACTCTGTGTGTCCATCTCCCACTCTTCCTCTCCCATGCTATCTTTGCAGCTGATGAGGCAGAGCCAAATGTTTATGACAGATTAGATGGGAGAGGGAAGTGATGTCATCCAACTTCTATTTGTATCTGTAGCTGAGCGGCTCCTGCCAACGCAATCTACAAGTCTGCAGAAGGTTTAACAGCTGGGGGCCTTTGGTGGTGTTTGGCGCTGCGGGGAAGAGTTCCCAAGGTCTCTCTTCGGAGCTATAATCAGGAGGAGCTGTAAAGATTACCCACCCCTCTGAGAATTTCACCTGTCTCCCCCTCCTCGGCTCAGACCGGCTGCACCTCAGCTGAGGCGGCACCCTCTGCTGTGACACAAGCAGAACATGATGTAAATTATCAGACTCGGGGGAGGGGTGAGAGTGTTTTCCTTTTTAGCACGAAGACGGCGTGTGATTTAAAGCTTTCTGTAACTTGAAGACAAACCACGCTTTTTGCTTTTATTGCAAATGTATGCCAGCAGAATATTTTAGGAGACCTTTACCTCCGTGAGCCTTTCATCCTCCGCAATTCCTCATCCAGTCGTCTATCCATCCGTCTTCCTCAGGGAGACGTGTTTTGGTTTGGTAGCTATGTATGTCAGGCAATGTAGTACAAAGCCATTTTCTCGTCCCCAGTGGGATTACTCGCTGGCCTTGTGTTATTACCGCTCCTGTGATGCGTTATTTTTGCTGTTGGGATAGATTGACCTCGTAGTTCAAGCACAAATGGCTGCCATGATTCTTAAAACCAGCTAAGTGTATAGATACGCACCTAACCGAAAATATCTCCACTCATTACCCGCGCCATTGTCATGTGATCAAACACCTTAAAGGATGAGAGACGTGTAATTGCTGTCAGATTTTGGCACAGCATTATGTTAAAATGAGTGTTATCACTCATTGGATGGATGGGTTATATTTCTATAGTCTGATCTTGCGGATAGAAGACGTATAAAGAAGATATTGGGAGATATTGTTGGAAACATCGTTAGTTACATCCAGCTGCTTTCCACCACCTCCGCCTTTCCAGCCGAGCAGAAACACGGGATAGAAAGTGGGAAAAAAAAAAAAAAATCAGACACATCGCAGCTCATGTATTTATATATATTCTGCCTTCGTAAGGTGCTGCCTGTGTTAAAGCCCCCAGTGAACCCTGCATGTCAGTTTGTCGGTACATGGCTGCCACGTCTTGCAAGCAGCCAAAAGCAAAGGAATAAATCATGATCTTACATCCATGCGCCAGTTGACTTATTGCTGTTTTGTGACCAGAGGTGAATGGTACCGCTGTTTTTAAAAAGCCAGTTGGTGGTGGTGCAGGGGGCGGCAGCCAGCCGTGTGTGCAGCCTTGTCATAGGCCCGTATAATAGGGGTGCATCGGCCCTTCTTCTAACTAGTCAGTAGGGAGGACCCCACCACCGCTGCCGCCGCCCCCACCCGTGTCTTTCATCTACCCAGCCTCCCCCTCCAGCCTCTGCCCTGCCTATCGGCCAGCGCCGGCTGACAGCAGCCCTCTCATCAGGCTGTCAGGCCTATGCTAACAAGGAGCTATCCATCCACCGTGCCCTAGAGTGCCAGCTGTCTCCTGGTTTCCAGCTTTTTTCCTCTGTTGTTCCTCTTCTCTCTCTCGCTGACTTCTCTTTGCCTCTCCCGGCTCTCGCTGTGTTAGTTATACTTTCCCTGTGACATATTATTTTCTGTCCATCTGTCTCTCACTCTCTCGCTACACCTCTTTCTTTCTGACATCGCCTTCCTCTTCCTGGGAGTCCTAATGTGTCCTTCAGTTGTTGGGCAACTGCAGAACATTGGAACATCCTCCCCCTGTATCCCCCCTCCCTCAGTACCTTCCTCTGCTTGTCCTCGATAAACTTCCCCTTCCTCGTGTGTCCTGTGCGTTGTTGGTGGGACTGTAAATGTGCATGTGTTTTTCCTTGAACAGTGGATACTGGGGTACACTGAGCCTCCCATTGTTGCTAGGAAACGGTAAAAAGCACTGATCATGTGACCAAATAGTTAGGAGGAAGGCATCATTTATTCAAGTGTGTGAAGGTAAGAACCTCATGGGTAAAGTGGTTAGACTATGTGTTTTCCAGGCATCACTATCAAGTAACTGTTACCTTCAGTTTTTATAAAAATTATAGATGGATATATCAAATATGACTTGAAAGAAATTTGACTTTGTAATATAATAGCTTGAAATTGAACCTGTCTCTTTAAAAACTCTGCTCCTTCTGAAACTCCGCTATCAGAAAGTCATCACAACGTCGCTCCTCTATTAACTTTTTAACAAGCACTGAGAAGTACTTTATATGAGTTCAGTGGAGGCCCAGTCCCACCAGGTGTTTGCTAATTGCTGTTGACTAGTCTGAAGGAGCTGAGTGGGGAGAGTTATATGGGAGAGCTGCTTTTTGAGGAGTAAGTGATGAGATGCGTCTCGAAGGCGGCCCTCGGTTCACCCAGGTGTTTTGCACAGCTAAATGGTTGCCATTGGAGATTCAAGGATTTCTCAAACATGAATGAAAGAGTCAAAGCAACACTACAGGCATGTTTTTGATGAAAGAATAACACAATTACATGATGTGAAGCTCAAAAAAGTAAGTTTATCATAACACTGCCCCTTTAAAAAACAATTTTTCACTCTTGAAAGTGAATTTAGTCTATCATAAGTTTCCTAAGAATTATATTTTGACTATAACAGATATTTAAAAATTTGTTTTATGCATCAGTTGTGCTACGTATGAGCTATAACATGAGGTCATAAACCGAAGATAAAAGTGTAGCATTTTAGCTGTGGGCACAAATAAAGTCAAAATTGTAGTTTTGGTTAAGTTGAGCCGCTACCATGACATGAATTTTCAACTTGCCAAGGATTCAGTTTTAGTGCTTGGGGTCGAGTTGGAGAAGAGGATTATGGTGTGTGTGTGTGTGTGTGTGTGTGTGTTTTTAGTGAATACAGTTCAACCTACCCCATACAGGGGTAAGCTGAGCTACGAAACAACTTTTTTAACATGCTATATTATCAAAACTGTTATGTTTCTGATTGTTTGAAGGGATGCACAACATCGTGAAATATATGTAGATATACAAGTTATCGACCAAACCAAAGTTGTCTTTGTGTAGTGATCCTAAGTATGAAAAATGGCTCATCTTACCACAGTCTCCCCTATTTGCTCTTGCAGGTGTTTGCTCCTCATGCCTTCTGTCTTCCTGTGTGGGAGGCCTGGTGTTAGCGGCTACATGCGCCGCCCTGCATGCCCTCTACTTCTCTCCCAGTGCAACATACCCGTGTATGTGCCCTTACGAGGCTTGACATCAACGTTTGTCAACACGGTGGAAAGCAGAGCATGCATAATTGGTGACTTGGTGCATAGGAGAAGAGAGGGAAGGGCCAACAGCGATAAAGTAACAGGATAAACGAGGAAGAAGAGAAAACTGTAAATGATACCAAGAACCTGGGCAGCTGTATGGCCTGTTTTTTCTTTTTTTTCAAATCTGTTTTGTAGTTTTCCCACAGATAATGATTAGGCCATT